AATAGAAGATATAAAGTAACACTGAGATGGACCACGCCTGCATGGCCGAGCCATGCCACTCGATCAACTCCAGTTCATTCAATTCATTGTTCGCGCCTTCTCCATTGTTAGGTATTTCCCCGAGTTAAATATTGAATATCTATTTTCTGAGTAGTCTCGTGTTCACAGCTTTGTGGATTGTGTGGCTATTGTCCAATGCCACTACACTACTCTCCCACCAGAATCAACGTGATGTTGGTTCGATACCAAATTGGATGGGATCGTCGCGCGCCGGAGGTTACCAAGGATGATAAGGATCCTCTGGGTATTGGTAAACTGAAAGATAAATCAAAAAGAAACCGGCAGCATCTGGTCGGGAAATACATGTAATAATCTTAAAATATCTGTTTTCATGATTAACACGCTTAAAATGAAAATTTAGTTGAAGATTATTTGAACTATAAAAAATGGGATTACAATAATAATAATAATAAGACGATGCGTGTTAATAACTTAACTTATAGGTAGTAATTATTTTGTGTTTAGAAATATTAAAATAATGAATATTGTAGAAATGTTAATATTGGTATTAGTTTTGGTTTAAATTATGAAATCAGATAACGATTATGCCGGTAAGTTGTCCATAAGAGTTGAATTCCAATTGCATCTGTATTAGTAGGCTAACTGAAGGAACAAAAGTATACCGTGGAGAAGAATTCCAACTAGTGTTCCAGTTAGTTTGATATGGTTTATTTAGTTACGGGGAGATTTTCTCAACCTCATTTTTACTTGGCCGTGATAGAATTTAGTAATACTACTAATACACATGAATGGTTATCAAAATAAAATTTAAATACATGAGTGTGTTCGTAAGAGACACGCTCTAGACTCAATGTTCTGATCTGCGATAGACTATTAATATTTATACTTGCCGGCTGATGGGCATACAAGTTAGTTGCACGTATGCGGGCAGAATACGATTTAAATGAGATATGGTGATTATAAGTTACTGAAATCAGTTAAGCCTGTGTCACATTACTAAGTGATGTGGTGCTGTATGATGTACTCGGCCAAATACGTTTTTACAAGATGATTAACCGTGAGTGATGCTCATGTGATTATCAGGGAGTACATCAGATAATTCATTGAGGAGTTGCAATGCAGTTCACGAAAATGGGCACACGTTTGGTCAATGTTTCTCCTGTGACAGGTTCCACTGTTTTAATTCATTTAAATTTCGTAACTATACGTGTTTCAAATTTGGTGATATTGGACATATTCAGTCAGTTTGTATTACTACTGTCTATCTTGCTGCAACGAATATTAAGTCTTGTAATCCTGATTCTATAAAGTCCAGTGTTCCTAATGATCATTTATCCTTATCAACGACTTCAAAAGACAGTGTAAAGTCATATAGCATTCCAGAGTTAGGTGAAACTCATAATCTTTGAGAGACAACAGTTTCTAATCAGTCAATTTGTCGGATTTCTAATGTTATTGTACCAGATATGATTTTCCCTAATGATTCACTTATTTCTGATGAAATTCCTTGAAAATCTGAGGAAAATATTTTGAATAAACCTAATCATGATCGAAAACTTGATGCAGTTTCGATAGATGCTGATTTTTCTAATGATCTTCTATTCTGCAATGACATTCTTAACAAATTTGAGAAAACTATTTCAGAAGAGTCAAATGTTGATGTCCTCATAATGCATTTATTTCTTGTGGGAAACTTGTTCAATGCGAAGCACAGTTACTAAATGAGCTCGAGTTTGATAAGAATTTAGATGATTTCATATCAACTGCTGTTTATCCTTATCACGAAGTCACTTCTAATGTTTACTCTAGTCAATGTGAGAAATGTTTTAAATGAAGCCACATTATTCATAAGTTGGGGATATAAAGATCCAACATTATTTCGTGGGGTAGGATAGTCTAAAAGTCTATGGTTCAAATTATAGATAGCAGCGGTTTCAGTACACGACCGACATGCTGGTAACATAATCCCAGGAAGCAGGTGAGTCTGTTCCGATTTCGGTTGTTAATTCTAATACTAATGACTGCATTCTAGATGATAGAGTTTTTATATAATACAATGTCGGACAGACACAGGATAAATTTGAGAAGAAGACGTACATTTGATTACAGACACCTAGACTCCAATTTAAGCTGTGGCGGATGTAGTGTTTGGATGAACTAATGATTCCTTTGTACCTGTTGAATGCTTGATTTCGAATTCTAAATATAGTACATTCAATTGTGTTTATCTAGTACTTCTTGATTCAATTACGTTATTTTAGGGATTCTTAGTTCATACTATAATTCAAATACTCCTAATTATCACAGAGGACTACTCTGCTATTGTAGACTTTGCTCAGATATGTCGTCTAACTGAACAATTTTACCACCTATATCATACATCTACGAGGCAAATTCTTTTGCTTAGTAAATTACCAATAAAGAGAAGTTCATAGAGTGCTTAAACACTTGTACTTATATTGAAGCTCCAAAAAAACTGAAAAATGCACTTTTATTGCTTAATATATCAGTATACCATCAAAGAGACAATAGTGCCTTGAATTCGGGAACGCAAAGATTTTGGTATCATTGGCAGTAATTCAAAACTTGACAACTCAGTGAAATCAGGAGCAAAGAGGTTCGAAGGTATATTTGACAGAATATCGATATATCAAGAAATGACTAATCTAAGCTGAATAGGGATTGCAGAAGAAGCGAAACACGGCGTACTCACTCGTGATCTGGTTCGGATGCGTGACCGAGTGCCTTCAGCTAGGTGGGTCCATTAAAATTGATACAGTCAGCAACAAATGTCGGAGACTTACTAAGCTATTGACTGAGGGGATTTATTTACCGCTTCGCCCTATGCTACTGATGGGTAGTCAAGTTCTGGGATTCGCTGCCGGCTGCGGTAGTCCAACTGACTTCATAGAAGTCCTTTAGGAGAAGGTTCGACATATGCTCAACGGCTCAGGACAGCATCTCCGTACAGCTTACTACTACGATTTCAGTTTGGAAAGGCAGTGGTGGTCTCCCAGTCGATCCAACTTTTAAAAGAGTCGATGGAAGGAGCCTCAACCACGTGCTGAGGTAATGAATTTCACTCGTTGATGATTTGATGGGAAAGTTGATAGTCAGCTGACAAGTAATTTGTTCTGGGCTTGTGAACTTTCTTGGAGTGTCCTCGTAAATTCTCTGTTTTGGAAGGTGCAAATTTATCGCTAAGCAATTTTAAGACAGTAATCAAGTCGCCTCTAGTTCTGAGATATGACAACGTGAATAGGTTTAGCTTGGCCAGTCCAGCATCATACGGAAGCTTCGCTATTCCGGGAATCATCTTAGTCGCTGTTCTCCGAACCTTTTCCAGAAGCTCACTGTCTTTTTTTTAGGCAGGGGCTGGCCGCTTGTATGCAGTACTCAAGTTTAGGACGTACGAACACTGTATACAAAGTCAAAAAGCTCTTAGCGTCGACATGACTAAAAGCCCTACGTATTGACCATAAGGTTCTAAAACCTTTGGCGGCTATTGCACGGCAGTGTGCAGTAGTCTTTAAGTCTTGACTAACGATAACTCCTAAGTCATTATATGTCTGGACGACAGGTAGCTCAGTGTTATTCATCGTGTATGTATCTGTACCTTGATGACCGATATGCATCACAACACACTTGGAAGTATTTATCGGCAACTGCCAGGTTTGAGACCATTCAGATAACTTCTTCAGGTCTTTTTGAAGTTCTAAGCCATCATCCTTACGTAGTATCGTCCTCCATATCTTGACATCGTCAGCGTATAGCAAGACCGATGATGATAGGAGACAAGGAAGGTCATTTACATACAAGAGGAATAGCACTGGCCTCAAAACTGTACCCTGGGGCACTCCACTAGGCACAGTTTCCCAGCTAGATAGCTTTGAATTAACCCGTACTCTTTATTGGCACCCAAATAGGAAGTCTTTTATCCACATCAATAGATTGCGTCCGATTCCGACATTCCGTAGCTTATATAACAGCCGGTTGTGGCGAACTTTGTCAAAAGCTTTGCTGAAATCAATGTAGGCTACGTCTACAGGTAACTTTTGGTCCTTAAGAGCGCACCAGCTTTCACGAGCCACTAATAAGTTAGTGAGACAAGAATAACCTGTTCTGAAACCATGCTGCTTCTCCGAAAGGATCCGGTTTTCATTGAGGTACTTAAACAGCTCCTTCCGAGTAATCTTTTCTAAGATTTTAACAACCACACTAGTTAGGCTAACGAGTCGGCAATTCTCAGGTTTATTTTTCGTACCTGTTTTGAAGATAGGACTTACTATGGCATTCTTCCAGTGTTTTGGTAAACAACCCTGCGTTACGGAAAGATTAAAGCATATACTTAAAGGGTTCGCAACGAAGTTAGATAATTTTTTTAGTAGCCCCGTGGATTCACCTATGTCAAGCTTATTTAGCAGACCAAAGACATCGAGTTCTTTAATGGTCTCGCTATCCACTGTATGTGTGGGGGATTTGTATGGACTGACGGGAAGGGTGTTTCTATGGTATATACATTTCTAAAGTAGTTCGAGAACACTTGAGCCTTACCAAAGTCATCCTCCACTAATGATGCGGCAGTACTGTCTCCCCATAGTGCAGGAATATTTGCCCTTCCTTTTATCCTTTGGTTTATATAGGGATACAAGCGTTTAGGACATCCTATGGATTCCTTAACAATTTTTCTTCGTTCAACTTTCTAGACTTATGGAGGGTCGAGGCACAGGTATTCCGAGCTTTTCGATACTGAGATTTTGTCTCATCAGTCCCCAGTAACCTAAATCTATCCCACATTTTTCTTCGCTTACGGAGAAAGATGTGGACCTCCCTAGTGGGCCATGGTGGAGAGTTTCTCGGCCCCCTCGGTGTAGTACAAAGGATGTCGGGTGCGGTAACTTTTAAGTATAAATTTTGAAATTAGTCCCAAGCCGTTTCAATTGAGGATTAGACATCGACCACATTTTCTTTTGCCGTTAAATAAACCTAGGTTCCTACCTATTAGCATCGGTGATACACTGCTATTAGATACGGGAGCCCGTTAAGCAAAAGCTTCTTCTATTCCGTCCAGAATCATTTGAAAGCCATTTGAAGGATATTGGATAGTAAATGTGTTAGGCTTCAAGTCAAGGTCACTTAGGTCCGTTTTGGGACTTATAGGTTTATTAACTAGTTATGTTTCGTTTAAAATGTGCTTTTCAAGTGTACGATTGGGGTAAAGTTGGAGTAAACAGTGAGGTCTACAAGCTATTGAGTCAAACTCAAGAGCTAGATAACTTGAAGCCGTATGCAGAGGTAATTCATGTCGTTCTAGTTCAAATCTCCACATAGCTATGGATGGGGACTCATGTTTCTGGACCGTCTTTCATGATGGATAGTCCTTCAATATCTCTTGACACCTATATTTCAAGAAATCCACACTGTTTAGGTTCGAAAGTGTCTGAAAAATTTGGCAATGCTTTACCTTTTCTGTTCAAAGTTCTTTCTGTGCGAAAGGCGCTATCTATCCAGGCCCATCCAGACAAGGTAAGTTCGTACACATTAATCCGGTAGTGGCTAATTTTATTCTTGGTTTGTCTTTGCCTTTATTGGTGTTTTCATGTAAAACAGTTGTGGTTTAGTATACACCTTAATAAAAAAACGAGAAAAGCCATGGTGCAAATATCAAAATATTATTAAAGGTAGGTGTGCCATTAATTGTAATATAGGAACCCTAAAATTATATTCAAATCATGAATCATTCATTTATTCTCGCCGTCTTCTGACTAACCAAAACGACAAACACCCCAAACTCATCCGCCTGTTTACTTCAGGTTTACTCGATTATGTTTTTGTAAGATAGGACTATTATTCTGAAAGAAGGCGGTTTCGTTTACAACACAACTGTGATTATCATCGTAAAATGAGTCTTGTCCCATGAAAAATGTAGTCGGGACTACAGTAGGGTCGCCACTCGTTTCGATCTAAATTTGTAACTTCTGTCAAGTAATCTGTAGGACTACAACCATGGAATTGCAATTGACTTAAAGGCACCAGTCTCATGTAGCAACTTTTTGTGCAACGATATCACTTCGCTAAATAACTTTCTGTTTGCTATATTCAATCACCTTCAAGGTCTGTAAATGATCCATGATTTGTAGGATGTTGTTCTAAATGTTCTTTGGGCTCATGTAGATAATTCTCTACACTTGGCTCAAAAATTTCTAGGTCTTATGATGGTGGTAATGATCTACAAAAACTTATTGCAACCTTAAAGTCGTTTAGTTTTTACAAGAAAAATAACCCGATATTATTAGTGATATATATTAGTGAAATGTCCTCATAAACTTGAAGAGCTCATCATTTTATCATAAACAAATTTTCATATCCAAATCTCGTAATTGTTCTTTTTCCACCTAGTTCTTACCCGTCCCTTTATTTGAACCTGTAGCTCACCTCGAACCTCATTTCTGCTCTATTTGAATAAAAGGCGTCACTGAATGTAACATCTGTTGTCGACATTACTAAAGGTTGGGATGTTTTCTGGTTTGTGATATAGAAGGATACTTCAACGATACTAAGTATGAATAAATGTTACGTATCCTATCATTAACTTTCTAGCAGCAATGATTGTATATAGTGGAACCACTAAGAGACCAATGTTGAGATAACGCATAAAGTCTCGTTGGAAGAGTTCAGTTAGTCGATGAAATTATGGGCGTTCACTGACGGAAGTGACTCAGTCCAGTCCATTAATTATCTTCCTTTAAGTCTCAATCATTTTATAACCCTTCAGTTATTTTCGTTTGTTTAATTTTGATCATGTCGATTTTAATATCTCTCCCTTTTAGGCGAGTTTCTCGTATACTATTGTAAAGTGTTTTAAACTGAAGGTATACTTTTACACTACATTCTTCGTCAAATTCCTTGCTTGAATAATGCATTTTGAGGTCTTTGTCTCTGTATTTAGCGAACAGTCTTTTAGTACCATTTTCCGTTGTTTTCTGTATTAGTCATTATGACTTGCTAAGAAAAGCTTGTCATGGTGTTTTCCTTTCAAGGAAAGCTAACAGGTTTGTATTTGGGAAGTGTTAGTTTTATCTGTCCCAAAAGTTTAATTTTCTCGTTTTAGGAGTATGCTGTCAGGTTACATGCTAACAGACCTGATTTATACAAAGATGCTAATCACAAACCAGAAATAGCTATCGCATTAACACCTTTTGAGGCGATGGTCGGTTTCAGACCACCCGAAGAAATTGGTGCCTTTGCGAAACGTAAGTAGAATCTCTTCTTACATGAATAATTTCAAAACACCTTCAAACACGTCTTGGGCATTAAAAGCAGTACGATGAGGTTGAGATTATATTCCTCGTTACCAAATTATTGGCTTAAATCTCGTTTGTCCAAATATCTGTTATCTAATGTTTCCGACTGCATTTCTCAGGGGAATATAATGCTGGCGTTCTGTAACTATTTGGAGCCACTTGTTAGAGTCACCGTCTTGGTACTTGCGAGTATTCTGTTTTGAAAGACGTTTTAGAGTTGTAATATTAAGCATCTTTAAACTTCTTTTCACATGAATGTAGTTCTAATATCATTTTCAGAATTTAAAACAATTGGTCGATGCAAAGGAGACTATGCAACTATAGGTGTAATATTTATTTTAAAAAATACAAACCATGACTAATTGCTGTGGAGTTTTACAGGTTTTTACGCACTAGAAATGCAAAGATGAAACTTTTCATCAGAGGGCGACCTAATATATTCAGACTTCTGCAAACACATGTTATGTTGTGGTTTCTCAACAGTTACTTGGGAATTACTAAAAGCAGCAAGAAATCGGACTATCCGTGAAACATATTCTAAACTCCAATTCAGTTTATTTAATGTTATATCATAACTATTGTATGAGGACTGCAGATGTTATTAGACTGTCGAGACGGAAATATATATAATGAGATTTGAAAGAAAGACTGAAGTTATAGTTAAATTGGTGATTGGATTTAATTTTTCAGTGATTTTTCTGATCCTGATTGTTGCATTTTGCCTTCTATAGATATTCCTGAACTTCACGCTATTATTGGTCCAGATTTTACAAATGACTTGTTAAATATCTTCACAGATAAAACACTTACTTCTTCGTCAATTAAAGCCGCCTACTCTCGTTTGATGAATGCCGAGTCCAGTGTTGTAAGTCGAACTCTTTTAGCTTTTCTCGTGTGGCATGGACGAAACATTTTCACTTGTTCTATATATATTCTGTTATCTTCAACTGTTATATATATATATATATGTATGGGTTTTTCACCTGAAACTAGGTGCTGTCAATCCTAACTTTACCAAAGAAGTTCAAAGTTTTTGAATAATTGCGCTGATAATTCCACATAGTCCCAGGTCAGCATTCACACTAGAGAGCGTAGAGTGCATGATCATGGACTATTTTATTCCGTTTGCATTTAATATGGTTTCCGGAAAAATGGAATTTTCTGCTGTAAAATTAACAAGTTTACTTTTTTCAAAATTCTAACCAAGTATGCAAGAGATAGATTAAATTCATCTACAAGAAATATACCAATGATATGTTTATAAAACAGTCAAGTAATTATAAGTAAAAACCTGATACCTTCATCTCGTCAGTGACATTTACAATAAAACGTATGCACAAAGTACTATTTTTCAACTTTTCGTGGGTTTTTTGAAAGCTCAAGGAGTCATTTACTTTAAATCATCTCTCGTTTTGATGTGCTCAGTCAGTCATTTTTAAGTGTAACAAACGATCCTTGGATCTCACATGTGTCAGAATTAAAGGACTATAAATGACATTCTATTGTGGTAGTTTAACTGGGAGTAATCTCTTAAAAGATAGTGATAGTCGAACACTTAAGAGAGGGTAGTTCAATGGTTAGGGTCTTCAACTTTCACCTACTAAGTCACGGCTTTGAGACCCTCTCCACCTGCTTCAGTTTGATCATCCAATTGGCACAAATAACTTTCACACTTGTGGTGTAGCTTAAATCTGCACCAAGCAAATTAGTTAAAAACTATGCATATATCAGTCGTTCCGGTGAGTCAGAGCTGAATCACAATAGGAGTTTCCACATTGTACACGCACGTTTTCTAATAAAGCTGCCAATTCACAGTAAGCATAGGAAAAAGAAATACTTACTGGTTTATGTAATAAAAAATAATTCCTTATTTTAATATTTCTGGTTCACCAAAATCTCACTAACTAGACTGTAAAGTTGGCTAATTCCTTGTAAAATGTAGCTCTTTAAAAATTTACATTTTTTTCAGTTTCACCTACTTTTATCATAGGTATACTCTTAGAGGTTTCTTTTGTCATATAATCCGACTTTTCGGAATTGATGCCTTAGCCAGAAATCGTTTCATTTATGTAAGATATAAAAATTTTGCGAAAATGACGACTGTTTTCTGGAAACTACGTGATAATACAACAAGGTTAGGAATCCATTGCTCTCTCCTCAAATCCAAGATGTCACCTCCAGGACTGATCTGTGTCAACATCTAATCCTATCATAGTAATTCACTTAGTTGTTTTTAGAGTCACATCAACCATTGTAGACTGGTGAATATCAAAATCTCAACAAATATACAAAATATACTGCTTATCTTGTACCACTTGGTCTGGAGAAAATATTTAGAATATCGAGTATACTATAAAGGAGCTCAGTACACTTCGAAGCATGACAAATAATGGCATAGCACATACGTATGTTGTAAGTAAATAATTAAATATATCTTCAAAGCATTCTCACTTTATAGTAGAACTCCTTGGTGAGTAATGCCAAATAAAGACGTAGATTATCACGTAGAAATAGTAAATCAATTGATGCATACATAAGCTGTCGTGGAGTGAGGTGATTTTGGACGTATTTTTCATCCCAAATCACCATGGACATACATTTTCTGGGGGATTTTCTTAGATTTATTATTTTAACACATAGATATTGGTACAAGTAGGCACCAAATACATATGCGCCACACAAATCTCATTCGATATGTGTGAGGGCTGTGATACTGCCCGGGTGCCCAAACCGAAGCAATCTAGATTACAAAGCGACCTATTATGAAGGTGTTTTCGATAGTTCCGACTGTTGTCTTAGTTATTTTATTATCAGTTTTACGATTAAAATATAATCATTTATCTGAACTTAATTCAATACCTTCTCATTTCTTTACAGGTCAGTAATTTAGTGGAAGCTTTGAAAAGACGTCTGACTAATGGTGAAAAGATAGTTATCCCACCTTTTAAAAATTATATTCTTGATACAGAAGCTCTTGGAGAGATATTCATTCGTTTGGCAACAGATTACCCTGGAGATGTTGGTTGTTTTAGTTTGTTCTTTTTTAATTATTTAAAACTCAATCCAGGAGAAGCAATTTTTCTTGAAGTAAGTAAAAAATTATTTCTTCACTTTTTATTTATTTTTGTGACAGCCAAATAATGTTGAATATATTTGAATGCGAATGTATAATCAATCATATTCATGTTAAGTGAAGTATAACCAAATAACAGTCAATCTAAAAAAGAATCAAAATAAGATGAAATAGTGTTGTCTTCGAAGTTAAACTATGAAGAGGAATTGAATAGACCTCGCGAGGCGGGATCGTGGATGCGCACTGCTAAGGAGTCTCACAGTAGGACGAGACGGCCGTCTAGTGCTTCCAGGTTTTCCATGATGGTCTAGCTTCAATTGACTCATGATCTCAACTTAAAGATCATTTATTGTTATTATGTTCAACTATTGATGAAATAGTATATTTGAATACCTAGATGTGCTAAGTGCTATGTTTGAAGAGATTACGAGTTCATCTAATCTGAGAACAGGACGAAGACTTTGTGACACAATGGCAGATAAGCTAGCTATTCCGACGCATCCCAGCCCAGTTAACTAGAGTGAAAAGTCCAAGTTCGGAAGAGGGAAATACATTCCACATGCAGCCAGAAGCACGAACAATCATGACAAGTCTAGCCGGAAATACACTCATTTATATATTGATTCATACACTCATTTCTGATTAATAATTATATTAAAATCACATATATGAAAAAATACTTAGGGTTATAACAAGTTACATACTCGGTATAGTTCATGTTAACTTAATACAAGAATATCGTATGCTTTACAGAATAAAATGTCATACGGTGAAACAAAGTCTCGTGTGCTGTTACGGGTATGAGGGCTGATATCACTTCCCGGCTGCCCACACCGTGGAAGGGTATTTCTCGAGGAACCTGAAAAGAAAATTGGATTAGTGTTGGTCTTAACGACCCGGGAGCGTGACCGCAGTGCCCAAGGGACAACTGCTTGAGGCCGGTCGCGCACAGCCTTTTCGTGTAAGGTTTTTAATGTGTTAGCTCCGTTCTTCAAAGGGCCTTACCGTCGGAGACGGAAATCCGTGAGGCAAGGTGAGGTGTGACATTTTTAGGGTCAACCTTTTCTGATCCCTTCCTTCCTTGTGAGAGTGTAGCATCGCTGCAGACGCTGGTTGTCCGAGGGAAACACCTTACTGCTGTCACACCCCTCTACAGTCAGCAGTACGACTTCGCCCTCAGACCCTTGAGTTGCTGCTTTTAGTCTTACCGTTCTCCAATCGACCTGTCTGGCATGGTAGAACCTACAGGAACATATGTTTTAGCCAATACAGCTTGGTTGAGTCATCACGATAGGCAAGCACGACCACCGCGTCAAGGTAGCAGCTACGGTCTGGCGGTGAAACAAAACCGAATACAACATCACATTGAATTAAAACGGAATTAATGTTGTACAAAAATCATAATGAATAAATCAATCTAATTTTTACTTTTCATCCCATTATATCACTAAGCCATTTTAACCCTGCCTTAATATTAAACTGAAATTTTTCTCTCTTAATAGCTTATTGTTTCGTTTTAGGATTGTTCATCAATGTTTTCTTCCTAAAAATTTTCTTTCTTTATATTAACATTACGTTATTTTCATCTGTTATCCATTTATCCTCTAAAAAAAGGGATAATTTGAAGTGTGAAAACAACTTCTAGTTTATTTTGCATGCAGGACTGCTGGATAGTTGCAAACTAGGATGAAACATTTATCTAATGCTCCATGGTTTTCATTGGTTTGTGATGAATATTGAGTAATTCATAGTTTTCATATATATGCAGTTTATATGAACTACCTCTAGGTGTACAAATATTTAGTAATTTTTATCAGATTAATGAAGTGATCAAGAAATGAATTCACTTATCATTTCTGATCATATCCAGGTGTGTTATATTTCCACCACTTGTTAAATTTCTGAAATTTGACAGGTTATTTACAGAAGTCTTTGCGTCGGAGACAACCCAAGATTGCTAATTGATTTTTGACTGATACCAGTTCGCACAAATTTACAAATTCACCTCTGAGTAATAACCATTATCCCGTTTTCTTATCTTCTGTGCTGACTGAATCCTAACGATGAAATCGCAGTTTGGCCACTAGTGATTAATTGGTGTAAATGTTTCTTAGTCATAGAAAAGGACGACTGTTGATCAATCTCACCTCTTTTGCAATACATGTGTAAATCCCTTAATCATAAGTTAATACATGTAGTTGGTAGTAATATCAGAAATGTACCTGTTAACTTTTAGTCGTTTATGGAGATTCTAGAAATTTCACAGATTGAAATCGAGTCAGTTGAACCTAGACCATCATAGAAAACCTGGAAACACTGGACGGCCGTTTCGTCCTAGTATGGGCCTCCTCAGCGGTGCGCATCCACGATCCCACACCCCGCGAAATTCGAACCCAGGACCTACTGGTTTCGCGCGCGAGCACTTAACCATTAGACCACTGAGCCGGCATCCAACGGTGTTAATGTCTAACTTCAACCCCTTCTGATACTAATCGTCTTCTCACTAGTGACTGACTTCAAGAGATACTCCTGGAGTTCTAGTGAGAAGCCGTTACCACTATAATTTGCTTAAAACTTGACTTATGTACTGAATAGTAAACTCTGTAATGTCTTTTTGTCTTAATATCAAAATCGTTATCTGATTATGTCATCTTTTAACAACTCTCTAGTTAATAGATTTGTTTTTAACCAAATTAGGTGAACTCATTTAATTATGTAATCATTTATTTCAAGCTGTATGATCGTTTGTTACTATTTCAGTCAGTGTTCTAGACCATTCTTATCAATATTTTATCTAACCGTTACATCTTGTTCAATATACTTAAATTGTAATTTTTACTACGTTATACTGATACATGCATTTGCTAACTTTTAACAAAGTTCATATTGAGAATTGTTATTTTAATATTTAACCAGTATATACAAATTGTCCGGATGTGATAAAACGTTAATAGAATAAATTTGTGTTATTCTCACTTAAATTTATTTGATACAATTACTGACTAATTAATATAGATAGTAAAAATGTTATATAACTTACAAAATAAGTCACGATATATATTATATAACAATAAAGTATCTGTCTAATTTTATATTTTTAATAGTTGAGATCATGAGTCAATTGAAGCTAGACCACCATGGAAAACCTGGAAGCACTGAACGGACGTTTCCTCCTATTGTGGGACTCCTCAGCATTGTGCACTGTCCCACAGTAGGTTTTTTCATGATGGTCTAGATTCAATTGACTGATGATCTTAACTATTAAGATTACTATAATATCCACAAAACCCCTTCTGATACTTATCAAGATATGCTCACTAGTGACAGTCTTCAAGAGGTATTTCCTGGAGTTCTAATGAGAAGCAGTGACCGGTGGATTTCAACGGGGTCTGTTGTGAGATAGTAACTGACTGAATACAACGGTGAATGTGTCGATCAATTTCGTGGATTAGTTGAAGTTAGATATTTACACCGTTGGATGCCGGCTGAGTGGTTAAGCGCTCACGCGCAAGACTGATAAGTTCTGGGTTCGAATATCTCTAGGCGGGACCGTGGGTGTGCACTGCTGAGAAGTCCCGCAATAGGACGAAACGGCGGTCCAGTGTTGCCAGGTTTTCCATGGTGGTCTGGCTTCAATTGACTCATGATCTCAACTATTAAAACTGCTTTAATATCCACAAAACCCCTTCGGATATTATTTTATATTTGTCCAATCCGGTCCGTTCATCCTAAAGTCTAATATGTTTGCACATTTAAATGCATCTTTTTAAACGGCATGATCAATTTGTCCTATCTTTTCGACGATTATTTTATCGCATATTATGTGCTAAATGAAAAAAACATGAGTAGCAAATCAGTTTATTACATTCATGTAATCTAGGGTAGTTGTATTCAGTTGATTTGTAACGACTCCTTCGTTATCATCGGTCCTAATCACGGTAAAACTTATTGACTTGAATGATTACCATAAATTGTTTAAAGTGATAGACAGTGATAATTTTTCTGTCGCTTTTTTGTGTTTCTCAAACATGAATAGGCCTCACATTATATGTGCTTTTACTTAAAGTGTATCTCCCAATACTTTTCAGTCTTTCTTCTATTTTTTGGGAATATTTTCACTTTGTCTAGTGAGGATACACTTTACATTGGAGCATTAGTTTGACCGTCAATGTATTGTACTATAAATTTGAAAAATTCATTTCATTTTCTAGTCTCGAAGTTTAACAGGAATGCTATCAAGTTGGACTAAAGATTTTGTCTGATAATAGTCTTCCAACAATACTAAGGTCAAATTATTGTATGATTGACACCTACGCTAAGTATGATGGTGTTCATTGTGCACCACATTGCTACAAAGTATCTGAACCTAGTAGATTGTGATAAATAACCGAAGTGGAGTATACGTTAAATTTTCTCACCATAATTTAGATATCGGGAAGAAACTAACTTTTTCCAAATGGATGAAGCGTTTTGTTGAGAAGTGTATAGACTCCATGTATACATAGTAGGTGATGATCACCAGTCTTTTTTGTAGGTGGAATCATTGAACGCGTGTAATTTATTTTATGTTTTTCTGGTTCACTGTCAACTGACTTCTCATGAGGTAACTTTAAGAACGTTATCTGAGTACAAGATCATACCAAAACATTCAAAGTTTGAAAAAATGTAGAACAACGAAGCACGTAGAGTCTAACTTCATGGAATGTTTTAGCCAATGGAAATGAAGATTGTCCAATTGTATTGCGACAAATATGAAGTATCTTAAAGGGAATATGATAGATGTACCCTTCATTTTTTAAGTTAAAAGTTTTATGACTTCACTCTGCTTATCTACAGGATGGATATGTATGTATATGCTTTAATGTATATTTCCAGTAATAGTTATATACTGTCAAAGTTTTTAATTTTGACAATAACTTTATCGTTATTTCTCTATATCATCAAGCCTAATTTGCCACATGCTTATTTATCCGGTGATTGCGTGGAATGTATGGCTTCTTCGGATAATGTAATTCGTGCCGGTTTAACACCGAAATTCAAAGATGTGGATCATCTGCTTCGAATTATTCAATATGAACCTCGATGGGGATCAGCATTGAAATTTGTTGGGCAGACGAAAAAAATTGTACCAATCGATTCAGATGTGCATACTAGTGATGATCAAGAAAAGAAATCAATTAAAGATGATACATCAGTTATGTCTGAAATTGTGACATTTTCTCCTCCAGTTGATGATTTTGCTGTGGATAAAATCTCAGTAGGTAACAAGTTTAATGTCTACTGTTCGACCTATGATTTTTGGTCAAATTACACAATACTGACGTATTGAGGGACCTATCAAATTTGAAATATCGGATGTTAATTATTAGCTCGAAGTTGAAACGCCGTTATGGATAGCTTGTTGTTGAATACCATGGTCTCAAATAGATTTGCATTTGTCAATATGCAAGTCACTTAAAATCTCCTAAAGCCTTCAGCATAGTATAGTTTTACCGGATCTTTTAAAAAAGATCTATAGCTTCTTAACTACTTCATCCCAATCTCCTTACTTTTGGGGAATTATGGTGTTTTTGTGCCAGTTCCCCAAAAGTTTTCTATTGCGGCTTCCCCTAAATAGGGAGATTAGGATTTTCTTTTCTTTGAATTTAGTTGTTGCTAAGAATCTGCGATCTAATAAAACTATTCAGTAAACCCTGTCATAGTGAACTACTCTTTTGAAGAAAAGCAAAGTTATACTTTGTAATATCTTCAGTTAGTAATAACTTCATAGTTTTCAGCAAGAAATGTACTTTATTTGATATTAGGTGGTCGTTAAATGCAATTGATAAAAAAGTCAATTCGACACAACCCAATACTCCTTATTGACCGGGATTTATCACCAATGTCTAAGAACTTAGGCAACCTGTTTCTCCCTCCACAATATTCTAACCTACTTCATCCACATTACCACGGTTAGACATTTTATCACTGAAACATTCAAGCACTGACTAAAATCCTACATAAGCAAGGTGTTTGCATTAGTTTGTATCTCACCAATACTCGATATCATGTAGCTCGTTAACTAAAGTGCATAGTTTTTAACCAGTAGTTCGGTATGAATCGCCCTCCTCTTATTTCAGTTTGGATACCCGTGGTAATATCCTGAATCCTCACATAATGTGAGTTAAAGACGATCGTGCAAGCCTGTATTTAGTAACCGAGTTGTAATTACCCAATATCATGGGAGTTAACCAAATGGTGTAAATATTGATTTTGGATAATAATTTTACATCTTAGATCACTACTAACAATCCGAGATACGTATTTCGTCCCATTTAGGACTCCTCAGCTTGACGCACATATATATACTGATGGTAATATAGAGAATCCAGTTTGCCGTCTGTCACTGATTCGGTATGAATGTCAACACGGATTCAGCTACATCGAGCTGAGCCTCAAATAGGATAAAACGCTCGTTGTGAATTCCACTGTTAGCCACAATCCAAGTTTGTTAAATGTATAGGTTTATTGGCACTCAGACTGACCATGTGTTTTATTCATCAGTTTTACCACTTTCTACTGTGAAAAATATAGTTAAGAATCTTTGTCGTACTATGCATTTTTCAATTACAACAGGATGAATTATGTATTTATTTATCTTTTTATTACAGATATCGGACAAGGATAAAATAGTCCAGTTTTCGCCATTGAAATCTGCCAGCATTTTGATTATTATCTATGGGAAAGGCACATTACAACGTTTGCATTGGGATCCTTTATCCACTTCTAACACTAAGGTAGACAATCACAGATCAAAATATGCGGATAATTATCCAATGCCTTCTGCGTTTGTTTGTGAATCTTTGTAAGTTTTCTTTAAAGTGGAAAATTTTACTATTTATGTATTTTATGCAAAGATGAATAGTAGATAGCAGTGGAATCCAGAACGCGTGTTTCGTCCTATTTGAGACTCGTCAGCTGGGTGCACCTGCACCTCATAGTTGATGTTCACTATGGGGCTTGAATTCAGTATCGTTCGCTTCAAACGCCATCGCGTTATCCACTTAGCTACTGAGTCCTGATATCCACTTGCTTGTGCAATGGGGTGAAGTTTAAATTCCCACTATCATTCTTTGTATATAATGCTTGTGAATTAAGGCTATATCGAGGCAATACGTACATTATGCTCATATGCGATCATCCAAATACGAAAGCATTGATTTATTCTTACTTATACCTTTACTTTTTATATTTCAGTGAATACGATCAAGGATCAGTGTTTTTCATCAACGCTGGAACTGCTTTCAGTGTTCATCAATTACAGAAAAATGATTCACATTTATTAGCATTTCGAGCTTATGCAAATGTCTCCACTGACTAAATATTATTTTTTGGAATCCTTTCTTACCCTCATACTTATAATTTATATTGATTTTTTGTTTTCTAGAAATCCGGTTCTCTAATTAGTTAGCAATAAACAATGTATTCAATCTTATCATTTGGAAACTGTATTTTCCTTTAATTGGCTCTTTAATAATATGTGAGATATATAAACAATAAAAGTATTATTATTATTATTATTATTATTATTATTATTAATGGCTTTATTCAATATTATATTTCGGTACAATATAGAATTCTCAGCACAGGGTATTTCAACAAGTTACTTATGCCACCAAAAATAGTAGCAAAGACAAAAAAAAGTTTTAAAAAAAATCTGAAAAACAGTACAACATTTAAAACTAAAGTCATGTTAAGAATGCAGGTTATTGGCTAGATTAACTCTAACAACCTGTTCGTCACAGAGTATATTTGCTAGATAAGGTATTATAGAACATTTGTACTTTTCCTTACGTGCATGCATTTTAATGTAATTACGTCTCGTTCTACCAGAAGTTATACAAGGAGAAAGATAATAGTGAAGGGGATGGCTAGTATCTGATAAAATAACACCTGCCAGGAGTTTGCATGATTTTAAATGTCTATCCACAACCATATTAATTATGACCTCGAAAGATTCACCACACACCTTGCTAACTGCCTTCAGCACTCTTCGCAATACAGCAAAGTCTTTTCTCAAAAGCCCGGGAAAGAATAATGGAGAACAGTAAAGAATAATAGGTAGTATGCAAGAATTGACAAATTGTAAGAGTAAATGACGAGTAATTCCAAGAGCATGCAATCTCTTTATGTAATAGGTCAGACGGAAAACCTTCTTCGATAACGATAATACGTGAGAAGACCAAGACAGATCAGAGGAAAAGGTGACACCAAGATAATTGACCTTCGACACTGAGTTTATCAAAGAGTCTCCGATGGTACAAGCACTATGGGATTTCAAAATAGTGTTTATATTCCGTTTATGTCTCATGCTAAAGTTAACAGCTTGACATTTAGACGGATTAAGTATGAGACCATTACCAACAGACCAACAATCAATACGAGACAAAAACTCATTCATTTCTATGGGATGTAAAGAGGAAGATATAGGCATACATACAGTGAGGTCATCCGCATACTTCACAAAAGTGTTTTCTGTGGAAGATGGCAGGTCATGCAGAAAAAAAGAGAATAGAAGAGGTGAAAGAACAGCTCCTTGTGGTACACCTTCATGAGACAGTAGAGACTCTGAACACTTTCCTTCAAACACTGTGTACTGTTCCCTTCCAGATAGGTAGGAACATAGCCAGTTGGTTATCCAGCTGTCAGTGTTGACGCTGATTAACTTGTTGAGTAAACGTTGTCTTGGTATTGAGTCAAAAGCTGAAGTATAGTCCAGAAAAGTACATCGAACATACTTCTTACCCTTTTCTAAGTTGAACACTATGTTGTGATGCAGAACTGCAACAGCATCTAAAGTGCTTCTTTTGCGCCTGTATGCAAACTGGTATGGGTCAGTATGCTCTTTTATCGCAGGCTGAAGTGGAAGAATTAATAATAATAACAGTGATTGTACTAGATTCAATGTTTTTCTTTTCCGTATATTATGTTGTTCGTAGTAAACGGTTGTTATTTATTCGTATATATTTTAATGGATTACTTAATCTGACATTGGAATTTCAGTTTCAAACAATTTCAATTATATAGTTGATGAGTCTGTTAGACATAGAGATGACCTATTTTGATAAAACTCAACAATAATTGTTGGGTTTCACTTGTCAAACAGAGATTTACTCAGTCAACCTTGAGTCACAATGTTTGTTTAATAGCTAGTTATTACTGTTCCTCTGAAGCGTCGATTTTAAAGTTGAGGTCTTCAATCACTTGGTTGTAGATTCGAACCTCACTTTGACTATACTAGTTTACGCAATTGAATAGTGTCACCAAACAGTGTGGCTCAAAGTCAAACATCTAATAAGTGAATTACGGGATCTAATTAATCGGTCATGTGACTATTTAATGTCTATGAACTTTCTCCCTATCGAAGTCTCATTTCCACTTTTTATCCTGTTTAGGAATGTAACTAAGATTCGTTTTGAATTATAGACTTTATAAACATTGCTTTTTTAAACGGACTGAACTATAGTAAATAATGATGGCTGACTAATAGACACATTCAAAACTGACTCAATGTTTTAGGCGAAATGTGACTGAGTACTTACAGCACCCAGAAGACTAAAAATGTAACCAGTACACTTGGATCTCTTTTGTCATTCACGAATAGATTTCTTTATAGTTGTTGTCTGAAGAATCTACATCAATGCAGTAGTGTTTATAATGTTCAGTTTAGAAAACACCTTAAAAATGAGATGAGTTACTCTTACAATATCACGTTAACATTATGCCGACTCAATTAAGTGTTCACTTCTGGATTTGAGACTGGTGTAGTTTAATGAATCGGATAAACATCCCTTGGTGTCTTAAAATGTATATTCAGTGCAGTGATGAATCTGAGTCAAGCCTGAGTTCACATAGTATTAAATAGTAGTGTGGCCATTGAACTAGTAATTCTAAGTTTCGCACTTATCAAGATGACTAGGACTGAGTACTTACATATATGGACATGTCACCTCCCTGACTCTATATGGTTTCCTGCCCATCATCCCAATCTCTTGTGCTGAGAGTGAATAGTATTTATTTATTTAAACACAAACATTAGTACAAAGAGGCACCAAATACATATGCGCCACATAAATCACTCGATTTGTATAAGGGCTGGCATACTGTTCGGGTGCCCGAAGTGGAACAAGTGATTTTCTTAGAGGGCCATACCCCGAGCCTTTGACCTGAAGGTCTAATCCACAAGGCAGTGCAGCAACGTCAGGAAATGCAGCCCCATGGTAACCGGTGATCAACAATAGGCTCATACACCATTTGTTCCCTCAGGATACTGGAGCCCATGTGCACCATTGGTTTGGAATCAGGGTTTCCCAACTCCCCTATGTGAACTCTCTGTGTCCACCAACCCGGTTAAAGCTCTGGACATTCTCTTTTCGTCCTCTCAATTTCGTAAACAACACCCCCGCCACGAGAAGGCAACGAGCAGAACTTCCCTGGCAGTAGTTGTGGCCATGTGAGAGCATTTCGAGAGGGAGAGCTGACTCTTCCCACTTTCGGTCGCACCAGGGCATTTGGGGGCAATAACATAACAAACTAACTCATGTACTTAATACGAAAACATCGTTGTGCTAATTACGTAATATAACCACTAAAGAGGTCAGAAGAATTGGGGAATTAACTTATTTCGTAATAGTTGTTTTGTTAACGGAAATTTATATAATATAAACTTAACCACAAGGATAATGAAATAGAACAATAGAAAGTAAACAACGACAAAAAAAACTTGTCATACATATACAAGATAATAGGTAATAAACGTAAACAACTTGTATGATAAGCAATAACTGATATTATTGTTAACTGAAAATTATACGATTATAATAAGAACTAATCAACATCGAAGTTTACAGGACAAGCTGTGAACCATATGTGAAGAAATTCGATGATGTCGTTCAAAAAAACTATGAAAGCTCTAAACCATCCAGCTCACAGAACAAAATTCCATCAAGATTATAATAACAATTTGTTCTGAAATGAAAAAGATCTATGATGATGACCATTCAATATAAAGAAGATGATGGATCATGAAGACTAAAAAAAGTATACATATAATGATTATAGACAATAATGAGGTAAATTAATGTTTTTTTTACCGAATAACAGAAAGAAATTAGAAAATTGCTGCCTTTATCATTTCACAGTTGAACAATAGATATATAAATATTGAAAACATTGAACAATGTATACAAACCTTTTGAATATATTGTAAAACAACAATAGTCATAATAGTATTGTTAATAGTAATACAATAATAAATAATGGAATATTAGCGTTAATTGAAAAGAGATCGTCAGTCAGTAACAACGCAGAACTTCGTACGTACGTACATCAGTTCGAGTTGCCATACCACATTAACACAGGAAAAGAGATTGTAGTTTATCAATACAAAGAAGTTATTGTTTGAAGAAAAAAACACAACTGTGAAAAAGGAGTATTGCAAAAGTCTATCATACTACTGATCAATTATATAAGTAGACGGATGAATATAGTTCTATTTCATATACATATGTAAATAGAAAAAGACAGTCAAATGAGTTAAAATGCTAAAAGATAAACTATCACTAATAACGGGATACTTTAAAATTTTGATGTCACTATAGCAATTAACCAATAAGGGATTTTAATAAATCCTGGAAATAAAATAGCTAAATGTTTCCAACCAATTAATTGTAATAATCCTTTAATAGAACGTAAATTTGTAAAATTATAACCATCATACGATTTTATACCAAATTCTGAAGCTAAATCAGGAGCAAATAAACAATGACCAGAATATTGAAGTAATTTCTTATTATTTGATTGTTGAGCTAAACATGCAATTACATCACCAAGAATAGGAGCTGGCATAGCTAAATAAAATTGATAAATAATTCTCATTTAAACATTAAAAATTAAAAAAACAAACATAAAGTTCAACGAAGGGATCTTTTTTTCAATGAATTTATTATGAAGTTGTTCCGTCTCCAAGAAAAACCTCTCTACAAGTCTGGAATTGAAAGGGGATCGAACATCTGATGTTATCAAAAATCGCCTAATGACAGTGATTAAAAGAACATTTAATGCAGCAAAACTGTGAATAACCTTCACTAGTAGGAACTTATTTTCTGTATCTATAAAAGATAAGCTTCCGCATCTGGTCGTCTTCATGGGCATCTACCAGTTCACTTGCTCTTGTGGAGCAACGTAAATTGGCCGTAGCCAACGTTCGCTTTCAACTCGGATACGAGAACATATCCCAGTTTGGTTCTGCAATGGTGAAAGGAAAGCAGTTAGGAGTTATATACTTGAGCAACTAATCAACTGTAATCATTCTGAGGATCCACAGTTTGATTTTAAAGTTATTTATGTGATTCGTTTAAATGTACCTAGATTTCTTCGTATCCAACTCCTAAAAATAGCCGAAGCTCTAACCATCCATGAGCTCAAACCAGAACTATGCGTACAAAAGAAGTACGGTCTTACCGTTATCGTTACAGTGGCCCTAATTTGTGTTTTTATTTTATTATTAGTATTAGTATTATTATTATTACTGCGTTCCCCTTTACTTACGTCTTATATTCTCATTATTTTATTTACATTTCCTCACAGAATTAGTACTTTAACAAAACAATTTTCATATATGTACAGTTGTACAGATTGATAATAGATTCGTTGAATAGAGATCCCTTCGCTGAACTTCGCGTTTTTAAATAAAATTGAATTTAAGAAAACAATTCATTTTACTTGATAGGAAAGACAACAGATCAATAATTAAAAGAATAGTAGACGAGACTATAACTTATGGACGAACCAATCAGATTTAGGATAATAGGTCTTCGATTTTGGCGCGAAATTCACTGACCTACTCGTTCAAACAGCGTCTTGGCATTTTAGCTGATGAAAACAATAAATCTAATTCCTAACCCTAACCATCAGATGTAAATCATTATTTTTATTCCTCAAACTGCTTTATAACCTTTATTTAGCCTCATTAAGTAGGTAGACGCTCTTAAGGTCACTTTAGCGTCGCTCAAAGGTCGTCTATAAACTATAATCTCACTGAATAGTAATATCATTCAACACTAGCTACTTGACTACAAGTATAAAATTGTCATCACTAGGTATGGAATATTATAATAAATTCATGTATTACATATACAAATAACACGCGAATATTTATGTAAGAAAATTTTTTTCAATAGACCCTAACTACCATGTATCTTCTGTCGTATGACACATCTTGTACCTTCATACATATAGTTGATGCTACAGTTCTACTGTATTTTCCTCTCCCTTGTCTACGGATAGACGAATAAAAAAATACACTAATCAATGTGAAGGTTTCGATTAAATTTTATAAGAATTAACTTCATGATGTATTAAACAATCTTTAGGGTAGAATATGAACAAATTTGAATCAACATATATATTGTTAGTCAGTCGAAACAACTTTAAAGCAGGGAAACTTTATTATAATAATATTTGAAACAGCAAGGATATGGTCGAGCTAGAATTCTTAGTAAGCTAACAGTGGTAAAGAAAGAAAGACTGAATTTGAATACAACATGGAGCATTCTTTCTAACATTACTTAAGTTTTATTTTTCAACTAAGAGACCATTCGGTAAATTGAGAAGACTAAAGAACAAGTTAACATTCACAACCGATGACTGTTTTCATGAATTCTATCTCTTTTTGAGTTTGCTAATTAGAGTATTCACATAATTCATACAAGCAATTTACATAGGTAATGATAGGAATACAGTTATTTGATTGTTGGTGAAGTAGCAGTTCAGTAGTTAATATTTAACTTTCAAACACTACATCATAATTTCAAACCAGGCTCTAATTCGCTTCAGTTTGCGCAACCAAATAGTATCACAAGCCACCACAATTAAATTGCGGCTAGAACCCATACATAAAAATCTGTACCTGGTAAATGAGACATCTTACCGTTCTGGCTGCAGTTCTTTCGATTATTTGAAAGTTTATGTATGTGTAGGATTGATGTGAATAAAGAAACAAAGAAGCAATAACAGAAAACAGAAGCTATTTGTGGGGACGTTGTTTTACTTCATTCGAAGTTTGTAAAATACTATGACTTAGTTTTGTCCTTAAGTTACTCCATAAAACAAAATGTTTCGTTCGATTTATTATTCACTGACACACCCTTTTCTGTTCCAAAGCTATCGTAAGTTAAACGTAACTTTTGTACCGTATTTTTCTACCATAATGATCAGTTTGGACATAATTGTACTTTCCTAATTTTTTGTGCGTTGTGGACGTGTTAGTCATCTATTTATTCATGTATCTTTTTACACTAATCTGAGCTGGGAATCAGGATTAAATCGAGTAGTGTTCTAGTTGACTCGTCTCCTCTCTTACTTGTCAACCAATCAGCTGGTACAAGTTTTTGTCTCTCTATCCAAGGCCGTTAGTCTAAATTCGGACTCACTCAATGTTAAACCAATTAGCCTTAAACCAGATCGATACAAGCTATCTTCTGTATATCATTGGGTAAACAAATCAAGGACATAACAAGGATGTATTACTTAGATTTATAAACATTAACATAGTTTGTATCGATATTCAATTAGTTAAAAGTTGAATGTTCAAGCCAATAAATAACAGCTATACTTAGTGGTGGAGATCTCAATGTTAATCGGATTAGCAGTTTTCAAGTTCAAATTATAGACAGTTAAATCCATTCTTTCTATGGGACATAATCAATATGTTTAGATGGAATGAAGTGTATCATTGAATGTTCAAGGTAGTTATTTTTATACATTAGGTGATTGATTATGACTAACTACCCCGCTTATCAACAATATTTTATATTCAAGTTAGTTAGCTTCCAGGAGACGATTTTGTATAAATTGTGGACTGTTCAAATCACAAACTGACATCAACATGACCTAAGGATTCTACGTTCAATATTGTGTAAGGTTGCAAGTGAGCACTGCTGTGGACTTCAGAGACAAAACGAATAATCATTTAGCTAACGTTCAAATAATTTCTAAATGCATTCAATAAGAAACTTGAAAATAATTAGTAATATAAAATTTACCCATTCTTAAACTGGCATCATATCCAAACAATTTAACTGAATTGCCACTTTCATAGGCTGAAACAACTGATTCTGTTTGTATAAGTCCAGGTATAATACTGACAATGCTAATATTTGCATTATGTTCTTTCAGATCACGTGCCATTTCTTGACTAAGTCGATCCAAAGATGATTTACCTTGATTAATATAGAATCGAATATGAACATTTTCGTAACAGATAAATGATTATTATTTAATATAACTGATATAAATCTTACGAATTTAGTTAAAGGGATATTGTAAAGATTGGTTTAATTCGAGGGTAGTATTTATCATAGATTTGAATTAACTACGGTACCACTAAGAACCAATATAGCACTGGACAGCTATTTCGTCCTGGTGTACAACTCTTCAATACTTCACAATGACAACCCCATGGAACCTGAGTCCTAAACGTTTTATGATAAGTGATTAACAACAAGGGTCACCGGATCAACGTCCAATGTTACGACTTCAATTTCAATGAATTTGCGACAAAGCGTGACGGTCATCAATCTCTGGAAAATACAACCTGTGAACTAAGACCAATCTCCATAAAAATCTTTCAAATAAACTATTATATTATTGACATAAAAATTATTAAATCTTATGGATTGTTAAGAAAAAGATCATAGAATCATGACATAAAAACATTGTATTATTTACCTGTCACATTAAAAAGTTAGGATAAGATATATCAGTCAGTCAACTACAACGTAGGATCAGCCACATATGTGCATCGGTCCAAGTTGCCGTACCTCATTAGCACAACAAGATGAACATCCAATCCATAGAAGAAGTTAATTCAGTGGTGGTAATATATAAAAGAAAGATTGTATATAAGAATATAGTACAGGAAGAAAGAATTAGTTCGTAGAAAAAAAGATATGAAGTTATTTTAATCTCGTAGCTTAAGGGAAGACAGAGAGTGTATACACCTTCGTCATTGTGATAGATTCTGAGCCATGTCACCCAGAGTCTACAACCATTGGATACGATAGTCATGCGGACCCCAACCAAGTAGTCTGTATCTACCAACATGGCTCAGACTAGAAGTTAGTGACTTCAAGCACTGATAAGACATATAAATGATCAACGTTGTTTTTAATTAAATCTTCATCGGCCATAAATCACATAGATTCCTTTGAATGGTTCATATTTTCTAAATATGTATCTAAGTATTACTAGATCTTGAAGAAAACGTTTATGAAGAAGTGATTGAAACCAATATTTTCCTTTTAATAAGTCTTGTTCTAATTTTTAACATATTTAGAAATAACGCAGTTATAGACTGAGGTCATCAAGAACACAATATAGTAAAAATCGTTAGTTTCTCAATTTGGAATGACATGCATAATATGGAGAACTTTGACACTTTGAATGAGTTCGAGAGGTCATATTGTAGTATAGGAGCCTAAAGAGAGAAAAAAGCGATTCACTATGTTATTAAGTTTTTCAATTAATTTTAGACGATGATGAACTTTATCTGGAACAAATATGTATCAAACTGAGTTACAACCACAAAAAATCAGTAAAGCAAGGTCAAGTTAACAAGATGAATAGCAAAAGAGCCAATGTGACAGTAGGGATTATGGTCGCGAAAATGATTGAACGAAAAATGTAGTTTGAAAAGAAACGGATGAATCCATGGAATAACGGTATGAAACAATATTAGAACTATGGATCAATTAACATAAAAACGATTGTATTTGCATTACTGCAATAGATTATTATATTACTTACAATCTAACGTATACGGTACATTGCAATAGATAATGTTAAGTAGAGAAACAACTCTGAAAATTCACAACAGAATAAGGAGAGCATTAATTGTGACAAAAACTAATCTCGTAACTGGAAAAACTTAAAAAACACCACGTTTTGTAGAATAGAGGATTGTGGCTAGTAGTGAAATACAGTAAGCGCGTTTAGCTTTATTTGGGACTCGTCATTTGGATATACCTGCATCCCAGTTTAAACAAATCTATTCGTTGATAAAGGTATATTACCACTCTCAGGAAATATGTAGGAAAATTATATCTCCGTGATCACGGCTCATAATTCAGTGGATTCTATTCCCTTTTTTAATCTGATACTTCAATTATTCGCATTAAACATGAATGAGACATCTGACGAAATTACAAAAACTGTATGACGACAGTACGAATTAAAAATGTTAAACAAAAAACAAACTGTTATTTATCAAGTCAATCAACAGAAATGTTGATTGCTGATTGAAATAGATCCTATCGAATTGTAAAAACACAAAAATTATACATTAGTTACTTTAAAAATGTTGTTTCCCATGTTCAGCTAAAAATAATGGTCGAACTACTACAATGTAGCATTAACAGATCTCTAATATTACGATAAATTGGTCAATATACGAAACCTATGATCAACCAGCTCCATATATTTACGCGTATATCATACAGTTTTAATATTAGTGAACAGACTACAACATAGGACATTAATTAATCAAGTTATTCATGGTTATTCGCATAGTAGTGTTTAGTGGAGATTGTTGACTTTTAAAGTTAGCATCACTGATTGACCTTAGACAACTGTTAACAATCAGGAAGCCCTGAACACCCGTTTCGTTCTAGTGTGGGACTCCTCAGCAGTGCCCATCTATGACCTCAATGAGAACTAAACCCAAGACTTTTCGTTGAGTATTTAATCTTTAGACTATTGAACCAGAAACTAACGGTTTGACAGTCCTTGACATGTAAGAAGTTGTGAATTTTTTAAGTAACATCAATCATATGATTGAAATTAAGTGTTATAAAATAAATATTATGAAATGAAAGAGACTCGTCGATTCATCAGAAAGCGATATGACCTAAATTGGATATCAGAGATGCAGATGACCCAGTGTATTTTTGAACTGTTTAGTAACTAGATTATACATATTTATATTCCTTTTATCATATGCTTTAATCTGACTTACTGAATGCTATTATACGATTTACTATTCACAGGATATTCCCAATTTATTAGTTGCAGTCTCTCACAATCACAGCCACTTTTGACCTGAACTTGTATAATTGTTATTTTTTTTTATTTCATGGTGTGATGCAGTCTGGTCTGTTTGTATATAAACCACGTGTGCCTGAAATATATGATTTATACAGTGGGATCTGATATTGGTGTTCTTCGGACTGGACAGGCAAGGCTAGACGAGAAGGACCAATAAAGACTCTAAATTGCTTGTACAAGTCTACGCGTTATTGGTTTGACACAGTGCTAAGATTGTATACGTCGTATTCTGATTGGCAATCAGATCACTTGATAATTAACCGGGCAAAAGACAAAACACATGTATGAATATGAAATGAAATTTTAAAGTAGAAATATGTACACCTAAAATGTTGCCATCCAATTCAATCTAATTTTTATTTAGATTTTTCTAATGAACTGAGTTGTTCGCACACACATTACCATATAAAATGAACATGGATTCCTCAGCTTTGCGCATCCACAATTTCGCACACAGGACTCGGACTCAGAACCTTAAGTCTCCCGCGCGAACACCTAAACCTCTAGACTACTGAACCGGCATCTAACGGTGTTATTATCTAACTCCAATCGATCGAAGTAGATTAATGATTTCGCATTTTTTTATTATCATCATTTATGTAAATAAGCGAAAATAATTCACTTGGCATTGTTTGGCTTGTATCTTCCATTGAGGTTTAAGACTGCAATTGATCAGTCTGTTATTGGCATATGTGCATACTGTGCGTATGTCTCGATATTACCTTAATTCACAAGCTATTTATAAGTAATGATGGATAGTGGCTAGCAGTGGAATCCAGGACGCGCGTCTCGTCCTATTTGGGACTCGTCAGTTGGATGTACCTGCATCTCAGAGTTGATGTTCACTCTGAGACTCGAACCCAGTACCATTCGCTTCAAACGCCATCGCGTTATCCACACAGCTACTGAGTCCTTAATATATGTTTTTCCCTATGGTAACAACAGACATAAAGATAGACTTATGTGATATTGAAACCAATTCAAATGAATAAACAATGAATTAGAAAAACAAACATTGAATTTATTCCAAGTTGTCAATATCTGTGATGATAAGAGAGTGGAGAAAAGGAATGAATAAAAAGGTAAAATTTAAGAATACGATAACAGAAGAATTTACTAAATAAATCAAATGAAATTCATTTCATAGTTTGATTTTTATCGGCTTATGTACAACTCGAATGGTTCACTAGAGATGTGAACCTGATTTATTATGTACTAAATTATATCAGTAATAATGTTTATCACTGCGGTAGCGTTAAGCAGCATGGAATAGAATATACAGCCACAAGTTTACAAATATTTCTTGCTGGTGGGTATGCACTACTAGTGTGGTGCGTGGTACTTATATTGATATAAATAGTATATTATGCGATTCAGGAATGTAATGTCTGGCAGCAGAAGATGAGGGAAGATCAAGAAAGCAAGAGCGGGAATAGAATGTAATTTGTATGAAAATGTAAGAACAATGAAGTCTGGGGCATTTTGAGACAATTGGTGGAGATTTTGCAAATTAAAGATTTAATATATAGTTCTCAGATTTTATTTAGAGGCTCTGTAGGTTTGTGTTGTTCCCACTTGTGTTCTTGTTCACTACACTAGTGCAAACATTTACCATCTATAACCTTATGATCGTTACGGTCAGTGGTATTTGTACACTTTATTTTTATAAAAAACTAATAACAATCTATTGTTAATTACCTGAACAAAATGCAGCATTAAATATCCTTGTAATTCCACCGAAACTAGAAATGTTTACAATTAATCCTGTAGGTAATGGTTTATTATGAATAAGTGAAGTTGTTATACTATTAGAATGATTATATACATTTTCATCATTATTCTTTGTTAAATCCATTGATTCTTCACGACATTTTATCATCATACGTGTAGCTAATACATTACATATATATGCATTACGAAGTCCAACTCGATTAATTAAATCCCATTCTTCATTTGGACGAAGTTTAGATTCCCAATATGGTGAATTATTATTATCCAATAAATAATCAGTTGCACTAAATGCACAATTTACAAATATATCTAAACGACCATATTGTTCTTTATGAATACGAGAAAATAGTCCTGCAACTTGTGTATCATCAGAATGATCCACAGCAACAGTGATTGCTTTCTATGATACAAAACAAACAAAGAAAATGAAACTAAATCAAGTAAAGAAATTAAATCTTTCACTTGTAATAACATTATTTAGTAAAGATAGAATATTAAAAAATGTTGTACATATCATAGAACAATATAACTACCATTAAGATACTCTTTTTATCAGAAAAAGCTTAAGGATACTGATATGGCACATTATTATTAATCAGAAAGAGTGAAGCAAAATCGGTAAACAAATAAATGTCAATATAGAAAGTAGTAGCTGTTATAGAAATGTGTCAGTTTTAATTATTCTACATTGTATGAACATAACAAAAGGAAAGTAATTAAATATAAAAGAAAATGAATAGAAAACAATAGTCTGAAAAGATTAACAACAGTATTGATAAATGAAATGCTATTATGACCATTTGGGCATCGTATTGTCTACAGTTTTTTAACCATAGACTAAGACTATCTAATGCAGTCTAAGTCTAATGAAGTCTAAGTGTTTCTCAACAGTTCAATCAGGCAGTGATTAATTATGCGAACTAATGCTATGTGTTTATCTGACCATACTAACAACACTTCTCTAACTTTTTCTCATTCTAACTACCGTTGTGTATTTCTTAGTTAACTTTCCTGTCTTATCTTAAACCAGACATATTCTGTACCTGTCCTCGTATCCCACTCCAGGGATAAACAGTAGGTGAGATGATGGTACACAAGGCATGATATTGCATAAGGCCGATTATCCACTTAGACAAACATACCAATCCAACTTAACAGCGAAACGAAACCAAAAATGGACCAACCTACACTATATAAAAGAAGTATTAGAATAAGAAAGAGAATTCAGCGAAGATTTTCTTTTAGATGAAGTCATTTACTGAAGCTGTACATTCGTAATTATATTTGTATGGTAAATATATGTCTATAGAAGGATAGAAAAGATTGCATCATAAAGCGATTTGAGACTCTAAATACTAAATGAAGTTACGTAATAATCAGGGGGTTAGAGAAGAACAGGAGTGTGGAAATAATTAACGGGTCAGAAAGATAATTGTCTACTTGACAGATATCCAGAAAAATGAAAAACATAAAGGTTGTAATAGCAACCGGATAATAATCATGAAAAATTGTTAAAGGATAATAATAACCGATTATGGCTTAAAATTACAAAACAATAATAAAAAATGAAGGAAAAACATACTACAGGAGGGAATTAGGGCTAAGGAAGGATAGGACGTTGAGCATATCACTTTTGCACGAAGAGTTCGGGCTTGAATTGGTGGATCGCCAACGCCTTAACAGTGAATAAGTTTTTTCGACCTCCTTTTGATCCAGTTCGATCGTTTGTATAAATTAGTTTAAAGAAAGTTCCCTTAGAAGCGACGTGTCCAGACTTGATTAAATGATCATGTATTGAACTGGTAACTGTTCGGTTATATTTCATAATTCTGACCCGTTTCGACCTGTATCGAAGTGGTGACTGTCTCGCATTCTGCTTTTAAGAGTCACTCCGGATAATGTTCTGAGATGTGTTTGGAAAATGATCGCTTTGTGTGACCAATGTAACCTGCCGCACAGTAGCAAGTAAATTTGTAGATGTACATCGATATGGTTCAAAGCGGAAGTTTATCCTTAGCACATCTATGAATGATAGATCGGCTTGAGAAGACAATACAGAGCGTAGCTGAATAGGTTTTATTGAGGGATTTTGAAATCCGTTTATTTAAAAGTTCAGTAGCCGCATCTCCTTTACATTCGATAATCATGAGAAGTTTTCTTTGAACTGTTGTTGTTGTCCTGGTGTTAATTTCCTATCGACGAATTTAGGTGGATAACCATTTTTGATGAGTATCTGTCGGAGTTGAAGTAGTTTGTCATCTATCGTATCATTAGAAAATATTCGCCTAATCCTTGAGGATAAAGCGTGCATTAAGTTTCTCTTTCTAATCAATGGGACCCAGCTACAGTAATTCATATACTGAACATTCCAGGTAGGTTTTCTATATAAAGATCTCCGTAAAAAGCCATCTGACTTTTTCGACGGGACATCAAGAAAATGAAATTCCCCACTGCCTTCTGCTTCCAATGTGAATCGAATTGTCTATGACAATTATTGAATCGATTCAAAATTTCATTTACGTCCATATGCTCTTCAGAAATAATGAAGATATCATCCATAAATCTCTTATATAGATGAAATCTTCCAATTATTGGTCAAAGTACCATATTTTCCAGCTTGGCCATGAAACAATCAACCAAAAGAGGCCTATTGGTAAACTAAATGCAATTCCATCGGTTTGTTTATAGAAATCATTGTTAATTCTGAATTGCACACTGAGAATACATCATAGAAGTACCTCATTTAAATAATGTTTTGGAATACAAATATCAAGGCTGCTGTTTTTAATATAGTCAGAAAAAATACAGTTTCTGTGAGTGGGACATTTGTAAACGAAGAAGTTACATTCTGTTATAACTTGTGGCCTGTGTCCTGCTAATGGATAACGTAACGATACCGCCAATTAGAGAGTAGTGAATTATCGGTCGAACCAGTGACGCGTAAAACACGTACGAGCAGCCTAGAGTCCTTATCGGTCCTGTTTTCCGCCTAACCCAGCCAGTTAAGTCCAGAGCACAAATCTCAGCCTCTGCAATATGAATTATTTACTTCAAACATACTGGTTTGTACACCAACCAAACAGACCACACCGTGCCATAAAATATGAAAAAATGTTTGTACAACAGTTAGCCAAATGTGGCTGTGAATGAGGGAGGTAATAATTAATAGACAGGGCACAATTCAAGAATGGTAAACCGTATAATAATAGTTCATACGTCAAAATAAAGTTCATAACAATAGAGACATGAATATGAGTAGTTTAGGTATTTAACAATTATACGATAAAAATGTACGCATATTATTGGTCCATAAATGAATCCCAAAAGTTATCATTCACATTGATATTTCTAATCGAGTCGACAAAGTCAAACGAATAAAGAGTAGTATCTATTGATATGATTGCTTGTGGGTTGTAAAACTTCATTTAACCGTTTAGCAATCAAATGGTACGGAGAGTTATTTATACCAAGTATAGGATGTAGGAGAACATTTTTCTTCTGAGCTTTCGGGAGTCCGTACAGACTCAACATAGCTAAACCCGATGATTTAAGATGTTCATAAAAGTCACAATTGATAATAAACTCATCTTCTTTAGGATTTTAGTTAACATCTGTTCCGTTTTTTCGGTTGCATCTTTTTGAAAGGTTTCTCTAGATAATCTGACAGCATCAGATAATATTGAGGATAGATTGATGACATAGCTATGAATATTCATGAGGACAATTCCTGCACTCCTATCTGGGCGACACATAACTAAATCCTGATTTCTCAGAAGATCAAATAATTGAGATTTATGTTTTTTGTGATCAGTTATTTAGTTTTAGGTATTGTGTTTACATACTGATTACAGCAGTCTACAAGTGTTGTTCTGAAATGTTCATAATCCCTATTAGATACGGGGGTAATGTCACCTGTCAGACGAATAAGGCTTTCAAACAGGACTTTAGCGTTGCGTTCATTAGTATTAGTTGACGCACTACAAAATTTAGGACCAAGTGATAATGCTTGTAGCTGAATAATCGATGTTATACTAGAGTAATTGACCTATGTTTCTCGTGGTTTCTTCATATCTGTCAAGCGAACAATTAACTTTTGTAATTCTGACCCGTAAATTATTTTAATCCCCTTATTCTTCTCTAATCCTCTGATTATTACGCGACCTCACTTGATATTTAGAGTCTCGAATCACTTTACGATGCAGTCTTTTCTATAGACATATATTTACCATACAACTATAATTACGAATGTACAGCTTCAGTAAATGACTTCATTTAAAAGCAAATCTTCGCTGAATTCTCTTTATTTTTGTTTGATGAAATATGAGAAACAGCAACGATTATTGAAGTCGTTTGGAATAGAAGTGACGTATAAGCCGATAAAATCACTTATGCAAACCAAGGGGCGAAGCAACAACAAAAAATCGAACATAACCTCAGAAATAAACCTTCCCAATTCCGACAAACTATATCGAGCAAACAAGACACCTAGTTTATCTTCGACTGTATGAACATTGATTGGCGGTTAATCGCCATGATATATCTTTGGTTATATAAATGTATATGGACAATTTTGTACACACATTTGATTGGAAGATTGTCGAAATTTTGGAGAGGGAATACTAACAACACCAGAGAATTTTTTGAAGCTTGGCACTCAGGTCAACCAACAACACATCAAAATCGACCCGATTTATCAACCAGTCAAAAAAATCATAGGCAAATGTAGAACCAAGAATCAGGTCAGAGGGAGATACAATCAAAATAAAGAGGTTGATAATAATAGGTTAAACGTCGACACTAACCCATCAAGATTGAGATCGACAGGCTTTTGGTCATAAGTGTAAAAAATTAAATAATTAACTTCTACCGGAAGTTTTTGTTGATGATGTTGCTCAGAATGACAATGAAAACCCCATGACCAAAGAATCCTACCCAGAAAATGAAACTTCACCAAAATCATTAACACGAGCTACAAATCTTCTCTATCACCTCAAAATCATGTGGGAGTATATTGAACTTAGTCTATTCATTCCTAAGTCACACAGGACATTTTGTTTTGTAATCATGTGGTGAAATATTCGACACTCTTAGGGGATACGTTCTTTACGAATAATGATTAGAAATCAGAGCAGCTAACTGATATGTGATCTTATATAAACAAAAAATTTAATTTTCACTGACAAATTTTTAACAGATAAAGAAACAGGATTCTATTTTTAACAATAATTCATAGTAAAAATAAGTCAACACTTAAATAACCTTTTCTAGATGATTTGAATGATGAAATTCTTCTGATGTGTTGTATACAGTTAGGTGATATTAACTTATGGATTTTCAGACGGCATTTAATTTGACGCTTTATGGTGGGTAACATACGAGTAGATTCAAAAATGAGTATAGACTAAACGACCAGTTTATCGAGTTACTAAATAATGAAATGAAACGTGTAGGAAAATACAGACTATTTGGTCGTTATTCAAGAAATGCTCATAATCTACAGTTGGAAACTTTGAGCGTTATGGCATGAAATTCAATTATGATGGTACATATGTACACATTCGTAATCATTTCCTGAATTTCATGCTTCCAATATATCTTTCGTTTACTGATTTTTATTCGTTCCTAAATGTGCTAATTACTATTGATAATAAATTTTGTGATTAGTTTAATCCAGCAGTATTCATCAAGAATTGACATTAACTATGATAATTTTGGAAACCAGATTACACTGAACGGGTTTCATCCTACCAAGAAACCTCGTCAACAGTGTGAGACACTTTCCTCATAATTTCAATAGTAATGGTTAGTTGACTTTGACTGACGGTAAAAGTTACGTGGAAAATGTTAAGATGACTGCGAAACACAAATAGGAATATTGTTTTTCAAAACTTACTCCGCCTGATGCATTAATAATATGGGCAGTATCACGGAGACTAACTCCTCCTTTACCATTTTCTGCTGAAAGAGTTCTTCCAGTAAGGTAAACGGTAGCTCCTGCTTTACCAAGGCCGATAGCTATACCTTGGCCGACACCACGACTAGCTCCTGTAACCACACAAACATAGCCAGAGAGGTCTGAAGGCATTTGAATTTTTATGATGCTAATTCGTCGAAACGTTTTAATGATCTGAGCACTAGTTGTAGCCTGACTGATATGGAAATAATGTTTAAGCTTTATAGTGTAGGATTTACTCAGCTTTTACACAAACCTGAAATAGATTTGAACGATAAAGTATTCGAGGTCGAGTAAGAAACAAGAGAAATTAATTATCACTGACCACGAATGCAGGTAAATTTCAGGCACGTTTAAAATAAACTTTTTCTGAAAAATTTAAACAAATAGTTATTTCGGTTAAATCATAAGGTAAAGTCACTACTCTAGGTTATTTGTACATATACCCCAGTGATGTCACCTTTTTTCTGGGATCAATTAACTTTTTAAGTTGGAGTATTTTTTCGCATGCACTTTTTTTCCAATATCAATCCTCAGAAATTTGGTCTTCTTCACCAGCTAGGAACCAAACTTTTTCTTCGTAGCTAAACACAGAGTATATTTTGAAACTGAAGGTAATTATCTTAAGAATTTACCAGAGTGAGCAGCTGGAAATATAATGAGCTACAACAAGAAATGTTATTGGACTGTGCACATTAGCAGCAACACGAACTGTTGGTAATATTCTGAAAAATCTTAAGGATAAATGACAGAAATTACCAATCGAACTGAGAAAGAGAGTCCTTCCAACATCTCCCTATCCTTTTACTACATCTAATTTTTCTGCTGCAACTACTTATACTACTCTGGAATTTATTTTGAAAGAATTTTATCAAGCTATGCAAATGTGGAGTGGTGACTTGAACCGATGCATATGTAATAGGTTCTATGTTCAGTATAGTAGTGGTGTGAATGATAGTTAGTTAACGAGAGGCAAAAATAGTTTTTTTCATTTCGATGTAAAATGAAGAACCGTGTATGTTAACTGCAAAAGAATTAATTCGATTAAAAGTCTTTCAAAGTTCCAAAGTATGGTCATTCAACTGCTAAATAAAGACAAAAATAAGGTTAAACATGCAAACAAGGCAGAATTAAGAACTGGTAAGTGTTGAGCCGACTAAATCTTCACTCGCACGACGGTTATTTGGGGGGAGACACCCCCCCAGCAATTCACCAGTTGTTGCCTGTGACTTAGAGATAATAGTTTAACTCTATCAACTCTGAATTTGCATGGAGGCATTAAACAGGTACACCTTAATGCTAAAACAACACTATTCAGATTTAGAGATTTTTGGGTGAGACTCTAATTTATGGACGAGCCAATCAGAAGCGTTTTAGAGATTTCAAGGTTACGGCGCCAACTTCAGTGCTTAATCCTAACGTACGATCGGTTCACAGGGGATTTTATACAAAACGTGATAATTGAGCGGCTATAACAAATAAAATGGCGAAACTATCATTTGTGGACGAATCAGTCAAGTATAAGGAAATAGATCTCGGATTTTAACGCGAAAGCCTTTCATCCATTTGGCTAAATAAACTCCCGACATTATAGCTGATGTCGGTTCGGGATGAAAACTGCATATATAATTCCTAACTAACGCAAATTATGACAACTATTGCGAACTAGATAATAAAAGCACCAGTAACACTGGCTGCAGCCAGGTACTACAATATATACGGATGTTTGGAGAGCGTGTCGTTATCCACAAGTAGCATTTTGTGCACTCAACAACCGGAGTGCACATAGACAATATTGGGACTATGTATTCGAGGCTGAAAGAGTTTTTGAAACTTTATCATGACTCCAGAGGCCGACTGTTCTGTAGCCGTATGGATGATTTCCTCTACTGCATGCATTTCGATTTTAGAACCTCTGAACCTCTTTCCAACCCTAACAAGTTTTCGAACCACTTATAAGAAGTGTATCCACTTTATTTCCTTGGTTTTGTATAACACATTTTTACTCTATACTGACTGTTTACTGATTAGCTAATATTTTTCAAGGTTACTTAAGATTCATTCAAAGGTCGTCCATAAATTAGTCTCGCCGATTTTTGTAAAAGATTAAGAAGAACTTTTCTATCTGAAATAATCACAAGTCTTGTTTGCTGAGGATACCTAACGATTGTATTGGTCAGCTTCGCCACAAACAAACCGATCCAAATAGCTGTGCTTGCCTCGTATGTTTCTAGGATTACCAGTTTACCACCAGTTGATCAATGAAAGTATCCATGGACCAGGCTGTCAAACTCCATATCAGTACAAGGAGAGAAAATCAACATCACAACAAAATGAATCCAAGCAATACTCATGCTATTGAAAGCTAGACACAGAGAGTATATTTTGAAATGAATGCATGAAGTCACACACTTAAGTATGCAATAGAATTAAAGGTTTACAATCTGAAGGAAAATATAAAAGTGAATCTATCTGCGCCACTACCACTGACTTTGGATCATTATCGACTTGATTATCTTGCAAACACAAACCAAAAACCTACATATTCTGACATAGCTTACTTTACTGATCAGTTATTTTATGAAATGATGACGTGTATGTGATGGCTTTTAAGTCCATACATCAGTTCCTCACATGTACGCACACAACCATCCATATTGTAACCCATATATAAAACAAACAATTAGATTGTAGTAAAAAGTTTACGCTAATATAATATGTATTTAAAAACCACCGTTTCCACTTTAATAGAGTTGGGGACCACATCGATAAATCCAGGTCTTTGTTGAAAAGCATTACTAAAGATATTAAAGTTGACAGTTGGGGGATAACGTGTAGAATCTTGGAATTAAGAACAGACTGAAAAGAAAATGACATGTAAACAGATCGCCCCTGAGCGCCTTTGAAATTTTATTGTGTTTTGGTCACTGTTTTGAACATAGGTATGTAATTTTTTTACGTGTAAAAACGTATGACTAGAGGCATTGTGGTCGATTTCACATCGCCCAAGAGCTTACGTTATTAACAAATCTGTGAGCTGAAATTACATCATATCATTGAACATTAACTTTTCGTTTAAAAAATGGAAAGACCACTCATCAAAAATAAGAGCGTAACTAAAAATACAGTATCCTATGGAATGCAATTAGTAACCACTTTTCAGAGATCGTACAAGCGCATTGTGATGGACATAATGTGAACAAATCGTGGTGTATATTCTTCAGAAATGATGAAGATAAGAATTGAAGAACTCTATTTTCAGTATCCTTGAATCGAATAGTTTTCTCCACAGGACTTTCACAGTATCCCCAAAACTGTCAATATAGAAAACTCCACTGCAATAGGATCCCTAGATTTTGGGAACGTCTGGCATCATTCGAAAAATTTTGCATATGACAGGAGAGCATCATGTCCTTAGGTTAAGAACTAGTGATTAAGAACAATTTTGCATGAACGTGGAGGGAGTTCTACTTTATATTGATTAATTTAATTGATAAAAATTTTCAGGTAGATATCGTTTGATAAGGTGTGCAATAGGATAAATCTACCTAGAATCATTAATTGCACTGGATTCAGGAAAAGACAAAACGGCGGGTTACAGAGGACAAAGCAGTACTCATTGAAGCGAAGCAGATAAACAAAGTCTAGTACGAACAGCAATGTAAAACTGCGTAAATAGACATCATCAAATTAGCTTTTCAAATTTGTTAACTCTGTCTAAATCAGTAAATGTGGAATCAACGAAGGACATGGGTTTGATTCATTCTTCACATTGTTGAGCATTTCCATCCCCATTTCGACAGGGAAATGGTGTTGGTATGTCAGATGTTAAAAACGCTAAGTCATAAATAACTGTGTTCTCTTCCTTGGTGAACTCGGGCGATATCTGAAATGCCAGGGATGTTTGTTCCATGTTGTAAAGTTATTTATGTATATTTTATATTTTGTGATTTCTTTTGTGTCCAATATCCTTTACACATCTTGTCCCCATTAAGCTAGTACACATGCCTAATTTTATATGAACTGATACTCTCACATCGGCTATCATGCAACTCGTATCATTCTAACCTAAAAGCACTGACGCCATGTTCGGCTATGGATAAACTAAATACCACGAACACGTCACCGAATATGAGATTACGCACTTACTTGTAGCATCGAACGCAGCACATAGCGAGTTCAATAAACAAATGAGGTCTCGAATGCTTTCTACGGAAGTCTCGGGATCACACGAAACCCTAAAATAGAGTGTCTTTAGATGTGAAGACTTAACCGGTCGATAAAGTCGGATGGTGCAGTCCATGGCTCATGGAAAGGGTCTTATCAGTGAGAATATTCATTGGCTGATGAGCCTCTGACAAAAGCCTCGTTAGACAGCCATTCTTGTCCGAGCTACCAATGTAGGTTCTTGTCGTACTCGTATCGTCCCAAAATAGCGCTTCATCAGAAGATCGAATTCTATAGGTCACCAAAAACCCCAGAACCGATGTTCACTCAATCATAGAGAAGCGTTATATGAGGAAAATCGAAAACGCAGATCCTTGCGGTAACCTTGCTCATTTTCTTACCCTCACCTGAGAAAACTGAAAATTTAGAGCTCTCCAGAAAGATTGTAGTAGGCGTCGAGTCACGATTGACTATGACCACCACTACAGGAAGATTACTTGCCAGATATTAGGTTTGATCCCTTTGTAGACAAAAAATCAAAAGACAACTGACTGTCGTAATAGAATATATTTGTTGACGATCTCGTGGTGTCGAAATAATACCGCGATCGTGCCAAATATTACAAGCGGGTCTACGTAGCGTGCGAGGTCACAGTAAACGGGAGCAGGTAAGGTTTTAGTACATTTAAACAAACAGGTACAGTAAAACAAGCACTGGTACAATTGGTTGTAACAACAATTGTTCCCATTATACCAATCGCATTATCTTCTTAAAAATAGGTCACTACATGAGAACCCCTCCGCTAGAAAGTAGTTACACTTCCGATACGCAGCGATTTCGTTCGTGGGACTTTTGGACGAAAGGGTCACCAAACAGGAAACGATCGTTGATCCTCGAGTTGTCAACTAAGGTCTTTCACGTAGAACGGTACCAGAAGAAATGTGCTGTACTTGTTGCTCGCGTTAGCGTAACACACCAGAGTGGTTTGTATCCCGGATCTGAAGAATTCGTTCGTGTGCATGTGGACCAGAAAGCGCTACAGACGGAGGACGGAACCACATCGAGCCAAGAAACCAGAAGCGACCATAACCATCAAATGCGAGACCAAATGTATGCCAGACAGGTTCGAAACTAGAATACCGACTGATTGCGTTGACAAGAACGTGTGTGACCAGGCCAGCTTTCACCGAAATTGGCTGAAGTTGACGGTACCAACAGAGTAATGGTCGGAGGCGTGGGCTCAGTATACTAAAAAATGAAAAAAGGGAAATGGTGTAGCATTCATGTAGTATAAGGATAGTCCTACACCGTATCCGTTGTTGGTTGCGCAGTTAGTTGCGAAAGCTTACGGGTAAGCGTACTCGGTGACCAGAACGTGAGACAGTAGTCTCGTTCATGCTTCATGAGTCTGCTATATCATCCGAATTCAAGGGCTGTGTGGTCTGCTGATCTGGACGTGAGACTGAAGTCTCGTCCGTAGATGGTGCAGGTGACACGTGCTGTTGACTGGGACGTGAGAATGAGGTCTCTGAAGTTTCTAGCGTGGGATCCGAAGTAGATGCAGAGATCCCGCTAGTAGGTTTGATGGGTCTATCATTGGATCTCAACATATCAGGTAGGGCACTATAATCGACGTGTGCTCGCTTTAGACTATCAATGCTGAGATCTCGACGCAGCCATGTCGATCAACCTTGAAGGTCTTTTCGTGACGAGAAATCACGTGAAATGGTCCTTCGTAAGGCTGTTGCAGAGATTTGTGTACCGAATCTACTCGTATGAAAACATGTGAACAGGTAGATAACTTTCGGGGGAGAGTGACCTGTCAGTGTTGTATTCGAGTTGACACCGGAGACAGTGTACGCACAAATTCAGACAGTCGTTGGACGTAGTCCGATTTACCAAAATCCACTGATACAAAGACCATCTCTCTCGAACATTCCTTCACCAGCACGTATTAGTGAGAATGGTAGGAAGCAGATTTAGGCGTGTTATATGTCACAGGTACATATTTGTACAGAAGTTAAACTCCGTTTCGCGAAACTGAAACCGGTATCCATATAACACTTCAGTGACCTATCCTGAGAGATGATACTTCGTTAGCTTTGATGAGGGTGGATCACAAGCAGGTGGGTGAAACGTACAACATGAATCATCAGGATGTGGTGAGCAATACCACTGTTCTCCTGGCAGGTTTG